AAAAAAAGCATAAGAAAAGTTTATAGGCTTAGAAAGATGGATAAAGATTGGCTCAGTAAGAAGATTTGACTCACTAAAAAGTTGGCCGGCAACTGCAATCTTGCTAGATCGCAGTTGCTTGGATCCACTAGATCACTGAAATACTTGGTTTGGTGACTTGTTTTGGAGAACTCACGGAAATGGCACCCAAAAAAGCATAGCCAAGCCTTCATATTAAATGCAGTTCAAGATGTTGGGATGGTGCCTTAAATCCTATATTGATTAGGAATGGGAGTTGCAAGGGAATTCTCCCCTTTAAATAGACCAATAGATTGAGCTTTTAAAATATCTCAAAAAATGTAAAATAGACACCAAAAGAATATTCATTGTGGCTGTTATTAAGGGTGTAATTGAACCTTTTGGGATAATGTAAGGAGTTTGCAGTTTTGCTCTTCTAAAGATTGCATAGTGAACATAGACTAAATTGATTAGGCCAAACCACTTTATGTAGGCTAAATTGATTGTGTCAAACCACTTTATGGAGGCTAAATTGATTGGCCGAACCACTTTAAAATTCTTGTATTTGGTTTTCTTTATTTTTAGTCGTTTGTTTTAATTTTACGTTTGAGTTGTGAGAATTTTTTCAACACGAGTTTTTTCTTCCAATCATGGTAGTGTGGAGCTAAAACTAAGATTCCCAAAAGATGTTTAGTTCATCAAATCAACAGCTGGTGGCTTGATTGATTCTTTTGTGCCAGAATCTCTTGTGAAATGGGAACCTTCAAACAAATGATAAATGAATAACTGAATCGATCACCAGGAAGAGCCTTGTTGAAGGTATTAGAGACTTACTCAACAATTGGTACATATCTGACTTCCATTTCACCAAATAATAGGTGTACTTGAGACATTTACATGGACTTCATTAAGTAAAGATTTGATCGAGGTGACTTTAGCAGCTGTTTGTGCAAGTGATCTATACTTACTTTTGATGCTTGATCTTACTACTGCCTTTTGTTTCTTATAGCTCTTAACAGATTTAAGTTTTCACCCAAAAACACACAATATCTCCTACAGATTTCCTATCTTGAGTGTCACAAGCTCAACCTATATCAGAGTAACTCATAATTTCTATGTCTCCTTCTACTTTTAACATAATTCCTTGATCAACGGTTCCTGTCAAGTATCTCAAAACTCTCTTACAACCCTACCAATGAATGAGAGTTGGGGATTGCATGAATTGGTTTAACTTGTTTACTGCAAATGCAAGTTTTGGTCTTCTGATGGTTGCATATTGAAGCGAGTCAATGACACTTCTATAAAGCGTATGACCTTCAAATGGTTTACCTTCATTTTTGAAATAAGTTGAGATTAATTGAAACATCCAGTGACAAGAATGGCATCAACATAGACAGATGATTTGGTTTGCTGGGAATTTCAAAGCCTTCAGGTTGATCCGACGGCTGATCCGAAGAAGGATAAGATTGTTTTTGTTTTGACAGATGATTGAATGGATTAGATTTCCAACCTGGAATCTATGTGTATTATAAAAGTTCCTGTAAAACAATTTTAGGGTTAACGAAATTTTTCGCAAGTCTTGTTGAATTGATTCTGTGTTTTTCGGCTCTGTTCTTTAGAAATCCTCTGCATTAGGAAGTTTTACAAATCAATTCTGAAGCGTCAAACAACAGAGCTAGAATTTGAGCAGGTGCGGGCTATCTCAAGTAAGGATCAAATGGTAGCTTATGTTTCTTCTAACAATAATTTCAAAAGAATTGAGCACTTCAAGATCAAATGCTTTGAGAATTGAATATTTTGGCAGAATAATCAGAGTGGCTGTAACAGATGCTAGAACAATAGCAAGGACAGGAACCGAATTAAATCTTTTAAGTGTTAGTCAAGAAAAAGACTGAGGTAAATGCTATCAGCATTGTAATTATTGACATGTAGAATGCTGAGAGTCCGGTCATCAATTTAAACGGCAAAGACTTGAGAAAATCATCTTCTGCACAATTCAGTGCAGTGTAAGGATGGACAAAAAAATCAGCATCGAGATAGAAGAGACAAATAATGCGATTGCATCTGCGATCACAAAAACCTGGTATAAATTCTCCCTCCTATTGATTGATCTTCCTATTTCACCATTGTTACCTACAGTACTGAAGGCTGCTGCAAACATGACAATAGTTACAAGTGAAGCAATAGTTATACATGAGCTGGCCGTCTTCTTCGTTGAAACTTTTGCACTTTTCGGTAGTTCTAAATGTTCAATGGTGAATAACTGGCCAGGTGTTCTGCCCTCTGAATTTCTCATTTCTTTAAACGAAGGTTTTACAATCTTTTCAACCTCCTAAAACATGCACAAATTTTCAAATCAAAATGAAAATGCCATAAATTGATGTTAAATAGAAAATTATAATAATAAATATTATATAGAAGTAACTTACAAATTTTTTTACCTTCAACTTTAACAATTCTGGCTGCATTTCTAGAGCTGCATCTGGAACAGTACTGGCTGAACCTGGATGTTGATATTTTGCTGCTAAATATAATATGTTATTTCCATCTTTGTCTAGGAAAGTCCCTAACAGTTCCTTAGCAAAGCCAATTTCATGAACTAGATCCAGTATATTGGTATGACAATGTAAAACTGCAATGTGAAATATGGTTCGATCATTTTTATCTAATTCATGGACGAAATCAGGATAAGAGAGAATGATCTCAGCCAAGAATGCAAAGTTCCCCGATTTTGCAGCATCGAACAATAAATTTGAAGGATTTCTTATGAGTTCCAAAGCATCGACATCATCTCGTCGTATTGTTTCTCTCCAAAGACATTGGACTAATTTAAGTGCTGGAGTTGAAGTGAAGTCATCAGTATCCTGAGTAAACTTCATTCCTGAGACTAGAGTGAGAATTAATTAATTATAGCAGCAAGTTATTATTAAAATTGAAATATAAAATTAGTTTTCCATGGTTTTCTTTCTTTTGATTAATACAAATATGGAAATTTAGAACAGTGGCATTGTCAATATTGAGTCCGAGAATTATTGGAAACTATCATGAGCTGATAAGTCTCTTCAATGGTCCTGTGCTTCTGCAAACGAATGCTGAGGGGTTTTGAGCCAACATATGCAAGGCAGTCCCAAATTGAACATGACGAGCTACGGCTAGCTCTTTATCATCCTCTAGCAATGTCAAGGCAAAATCTGAGGAATTCATCAAATCCCAATGATTATACATATGTGCAATAAAAAAAAAAATATATATATATAAACATATATAACTTCAATTAAAATAATTAAGCTTTCATATTAGTATCCGGGTTTTAAGAATTAGAAGGAAAACAAAAGTCAAAATGAGGTTGAAGTTAGATAAAAAATCTAAAGGAATAATAACCCACAATAAGGGACCATTTGAACTACCTCTAGATGATCGAGTGGTTTGATAGGGACTCTCAAGTATATTACTTAAGAGGTCTCTCTCATCAGTTGCTAATAAAGATAGTCATTAGAGCTTTTATCCGATCAATAATTCTAGGGTCCCGAGAGATTATTTGAAGTACGTGTAAGCTAGTTCGGACACCCAAGTCATTAAAAAAAAGGACCATTTGATTTGAAAAAAAAAAAACCCATTTGGACATATATATTTAATGTAATATAGTACTACAGTATTAGCTTGTCTCAAACACTTATTTAAATACCATATGATATATTTAATGTAGCACTATGATAGAATGAAACAAATTAGGACAAATCAGATATATTGTTTATTAATTATTAATTGATCTGAAAATAGATGAGACTTACCATAAAGACCCATATGAACACTAACAATAAATGTTGACTTGCGGTCCTCTTTGGTGAGATATTGTTTACTTTTACGGTATAAAAACTTTGCCATTTCTTCATGTCCAAATAAAGCAGCCAAGTATACTGGAAGCATATTTTTACCGCCTCGGATTGCCAGTAGATGCTGATTCATTTCTAGCATAATCTGGGCAATTTGTAAGCTTCCAATCATGACAGCAAAACAAAAGGCTGTATTCCCATTAATGTCTTGCAACATTAACTCCTCTGGTTTCATCAATTTCACTATCTCCCGGACAAACCTTGTTTGTCCTGCATCTGCTGCTACATGAAGAATAGTTTCATAACCCTTTGTAATCGCTGTACATAGCACTGAGGGATGATGATGTTTCGTTCGCATTGAAAAGCGCTTAACTTCTTCAATGTCGCCGTTGATGGCAGCGTTGTTAAGAGGAACACATATGTCGAAATACAATGCTTTATTTTTTCCTGTTTAATATGAATAACATAATGAGATAATTAAAGATCATCTTGAAAACATTGATGTGGGTTTAAGTTAGAGAGCTCACCAGAAAGAAGACGAAGGGAAGGCCACCTGATTACTTGAGTTGGAGTTGCTTTATCGATATCATTTAGCTCTTTATGAACATCTATATCTTCCATTCAATTGTATATTGATCAGTTGGAGTAGCTTTTCTCATCAATATGATGTGTTTTTCAGATGTCATAATTTCCTTTGTGAGAATAGTAATGTCTCCTTCAACTTTGACTATACGACGTACTTCATAGCTCCATATATAAAGATCTATACATACATACATACATACATATGAAATAACAGAAGGTTTCTGCTATTTTTTTAGTGTATTTTAAGAGGTAATTAATATTTGTTTCCCTACCCTGCTTCATGCGTTTCATATGAATGCAACATATTTGGACTATTTGCAGGACTTTAAGCAAATTATACAAGTTCTGGTTTTGATCCCCTTTTCTTTATACTTATTGTCTTCTGTGATGTGCATACGCTGACGAATGATATTCTCTTTATAGACAACGATTGACATGTCGTGTTGTTTGATTTCTTTTCAAAATGCTCGAATCAAAGCTCTATTACGTGCCCTCTTGTCATTTAAAATAAGTGTTTCAAGAATAAACTAATATTTTTTAAAATAAAATTTACTGTTCAGGGCGGCAATTTATAGTTTTTTGCAAGGCCAGGAACAATTACGGGTTGCTGTTTATTACATTATTCTTTTTGTTGTCGTGATTCTTCTTCTTCTTCTTCTTCTTCTTATTAATTATTATCATCGGCATCCTCATTAGTAAGATTAATTATTGTTTTTGTTAAAAGTAGTTATTAATATAATATTTTTTTAATTAGAGACCCAATTTAGGATTTGGACTTACTTAACTCCCTTCATTATATTATATAGTAAAAGTAGTTACAAATTCAATTATTATTATTTGTATCTATACTTTACTTGAAAGGAATTTATTAATTGACATCTCCATTGTTATTAGACAATACAAATATATTAGCATTTTGCATTTTATTTAATTTAGTTATAAAGAAAGAAATAAAAAAAATTCATTTCAATGGTGCCCCCTGGACCGAAATTCCTGGGTCCACCATTGATCAGGACGTGACAAAACCCTTTCTCCTGATAAGATTAGCTTTGATACCATTATTGGTTGTGATTAGCTAATAACACTGTTGGGAAATCCCTACAAATACAGTTTCATTCACATATGCAAAGAATTAATATAAAATAAATAAATAACAATTGATTGAGAACAAATGCACAAGGAGTTTTACCATGGTTTAGGCAATAATTAATCTTATGTCCACATTGAACTTAACACACGAACTCACTCTGCACTATTAGGAAGATTATACAAATACTCTCAAGAACAACTAAGGCTGTGCTGTTTTCCTATTCAAACCCTATTTTATCCCACTATTCTATCCAATCCTATCAAAATACATATTTGTTTCAATATTCTCAAAATCCAATCCTGTTTAATTCAACTCAAAATATTTAGATTTTTTTAACCTTTTGAGTTTGTTAATTTAATTAAATACTCCAAACAATAAAAGTTTATAAATTCACAAAAATACGCTCATCCACCCACATATTGCCAACAACTGACCATCATTGTCGAAAGGTGGTCAGAATTTATCGGAATGACTTACGATTGGCTAGATATGGTTGGTCGTGCACTGACCTAGCCTTTTCCGATTAGATCCACCATGTATCTAGTTGGAAAAGGCCAAATCAGTACACAACCGACCACATCTAGTCGAAAAATGCCATATCTACAGCCAAAGATTTAGTCGTTAATGGCTAGATCTTGCCACATCTAGTCGATAACGATTATCATATCTTGGTCGTTGTTGACGGCCAAACAATGGCCCAGATGTGGTCATCCTCAATGGCCAAATCTGGCCAGATTTGGCCGAAAACAGTCAGATTTATGCACTACCGGCTAGATCCAGTCGATCGTGCATCATTTTGGTGACTTCCGACCACCGTCCGAATATGGTGGCCGGCTGCTAGATTTAATGGGTGGAGTGGGGGTGTTTTTGTTAATTTAAAACTTTTATTATAGTTGATGTTTAGCTAAATTAGCAAATATAGGGGGTTAAAAAATAATCTAAATATTTTCAGAAAATGTTTTTAAAAAATTTACCAAACACATTTTCAAATTTAAATCCTATTCTCGTAATAATAACTCAACTCAACTTTTTTAAAAATATTATTCTAAATACTCTATCAAACACAACCTAAGATACCTCTCACAAATACACATCACAGAGAAGATAAAATGATTTATCTGTTTTGGATTTCCCGCACAACTTTTAAATTAAATGATAAATTCCTTCTATAAAACTTTTTTTATCAATGTGATATGAAGATAAGCATTTTACTTTCTGAAAAGATAAGTACTTTTACTTTCTGAAACAGAGTTTCTGAAAAATGTTCTTAATAAAACTTTATCTGAACATTATACTTTTATAGTAAATTATCTTTATAGACTAATATATTAGTTGTTCTATTCATCAAAGCACCTATGATTTCTTATATGTGCCTATATACATTCTGCAGCAAGACTTTTTAACGTAACTTCGATGCAATGGAAATAATCTATATATATATTATATATATATATTATATATATATATATATATATATATATATATATATATATATTATTGTAATTACCACATGAAAAGGATGTAGAATATATGGTCAAACACAGTGACATATCAATATTGAAAACTTAAGAGAAGAATAATAAAGAAGAAAGAGAAGACGCACAAGATTTACGTGGTCTGATAATATTTTTGCATTTATGAGACACAATAAATAAATATTCACGTCACTAGAATAAGAAACAGATACAGTATCAAACTATTTTGTTAAGAGTGGACCTACGATACCATTTGCCTTAAGAAAAAATGAATTTTTATTTGCTATCGCCAAAAGTATCAAACTATTTTGGACAGCCCCAACACCAATAATGCTACGGACACCGAAAAAATTACACCGAAATCGTGTACCGGCCTACGTGTAACACACCTCTCATTTTTTTATAATTTTTTTCTAGTGAACGGCCGTCCATCAAATTTGGACGGCCATTCACTCACATGGACGCCCGTCCATATTATATGGACGGGCGTCCATATACAAGGGACGGGCGTCCCTATTTAAAGGACGCCCGTCCATAAACAAATTTTGAAAATAAAAAAAAAAAACTTTGGGACGGCCGTCCATAAATTATGGACGGCCGTCCCTTACATTTGGATGGGCGTCCATTCCTAATGGACGCCCGTCCATACTTAAAATAAAAAAATGTTTGGACGGGCGTCCATTTCTAATGGACGCCCGTCCATTATTTTAGTTTCTACAAATTAAAGAAAAACTTTGGATGGGACGGGCGTCCCTAAGGAATGGACGCTCGTCCATTACTTACGTTTTTGTGAAATTTTTCCAGTGATAGCAATCTCATGCAGTATCTCCTGCATATTATCTGCCAACTTTTTGACGTCCTCCGGCCAGTATATTACGTTTGCATCCTGGTTGAAGTTCT